GACTAATTTTAGAAACTTGTGTGAATTATATAGAATTGAAAAAAAGCCTAGGACTGTTAACTGCAGCAATACTGTTAGACATATCCAGCTTTCCTTCTACACCATCATGGAAAATTGCTAACCTTGGTAAAATTAATAAAAGCATCTCATACTATACTACTATAGTCACTGAAACAAATTATGCCATTCCATTTTACGATTAATAGTATGCTTGGATTTGTCATTTTCCTTAAAAAAAATTAAAATGCAAAATTATTGAAAACTTTTTACTTTCATCAGTTTACCTATTTTTAAAAAAACAGTTTAAAAACTGATATCATATAGCTTTAAATTTGTATAACACTTCATATTTCATCTCAAAATAAAATTTTACAGGTCATTTAATTTTTCATAAATACCACTAGACTACATTTTGAGAAAGAAATATGATATGTTGTTATATCCAGAAGTATGCTTTCCAGGTACCCAAACAATCTGTAGATGTTTGGAAAAGAAAATTAGGTATCTACTTATTCTTTTGCCCTTGCTCAATGAATAAGCATCAAATTACTGAACTCAGCTCGCCTTCCATTTAGTGGATTGGGCAAACATCAAGCATTAGCGCTGTACAAAACATTCAAAGAAGCACTTCACAAAGTGTGTTGGCTTCTAGTTGCTTCTTTACACAACAACTGTTTGAAGAGGGTTCTTTTCAAATTATGTTCAGGTACCTGGAAAATAAACACTTCTTCCCAGGCTGAAAGGAAGCAAAGCAGTTTGTGCCTGTACATGAACATGAGTACCAATGGACAACTGTATCAAGTCATTTGAAGGAATGCAGCTGTCTCAATATATATGGAGATTATCTGTTATCCAGGTCAAAGGTATCTGTCTCAAAGGTGCTTTTTCAAAAGGCAACTGGTCTTTGTTTTTCCTTGAAGAAGTTTTGCTTCTCATCCCAGAAGCTTTTTCGGTTCTGACTGAATGGAGGAGAATGGAAGGATTTAAATTCCTTGTAGTCATCTGGTTGCTAGCACTCTTTCTGAGAGTCTTTGAAGGCACTTGGAGGTTTATNCATCCCCGTGGTCATGTGATCAAAATTCAGAGGCTTGACAACTAGTTCCTATTTATGACAATTGCAGTGTCCCAGGGTGACGTGATCCCCTTTTGCGACCTTCTAACAAGCAAAGGCAATGGGGAAACCAGATTCACTTGACAACCATGTTACTAACTTAGAAATTGCAATGATTCAGTTACAACTGTACAACTGAGGACTACTTGTAATTTCCCTTTAAATACCTAACATGATAGAAAAGTAACTAACATGTACCAGAAGAGATCACAAGTCTATTGATTCAATGTGCTTTGTACTTCATAACAACAATGCAAAACTATATGTTAATCGTGTTCTAGAGAAATACCCATAAAAGCAAGTTCTAAGCAATACAAAGTATAGTAGCATCCCAGAGTTGTCTAGGAAGGGGCTTGTCAATATACAAACACACATAATATTTAATAGAGTATGGGGGGAAAAATAAAGTTACTACTGCAAAATCAAATCCCTATGTTTGCAGTGACACTGTACAGTGGGACCTTGGGTCCCAAACGGCTCAGACGCTGAACAATTTGGGTGCCGACTGAAAAACCTGCTAAATGCTTCACTCAAATCACGAACACTTTTGTGAACATTTTTGTGTGTGCGCACATGCACAGTTTGTCTTGCTTCTGGTCACGACCAAATCAGGTGCCAGCCGAAGTCCTGGAACCGATTACGGTCAGCACCCAAGGTCCCACTGTACGCAGGTACAAAGGGATGAGGCTGTGATGGTACAATTTACCCTGCCTTCTTGGCTCTTCCCTATGTAGATTTGTGATTTTATATACCCTTAGGAATCCTTTATATAGCCTTCTCACATGCATTTAACGACAACCCAAAGCACACCTTGACAATATCTATGGGGATTCTCAATCATCCAGATGGTTGTCCCAATGATGCTTTTGAAAACAGCTGGACTTTTTAAAAAACATTTCGCTTTTCATCAGTTTCTCATCACTGAAGAAGCTTCTTGAATGAGAAGTGAAATGTATTCAAAGGGGGGGGGGGAACCAGAAAGTCCTTTCATAAAGAACTTTTGGGATACCCTGGCAACCTTTCATTTCTGCCATAATTTCAAAAGTTGACTTCTGATACCCCAAGTCATGCATGATACAAGAGAAAGTGCCTACCTAGTAGTCTTAAATATTTTTCCTCCGGTTGCAACACATTTTTGTTTCACCAACCAGTCTATCTTGGTGACCTCAAGATGATAAATTCAATCAATCTCCGATTGGCCAGTATGGACTGTTGGATATAAGCTCCCTTCTCTCTTTACTGTTCAGAGAGCCATTCTGGTCTCTTCTCTAACCCAGGACTTCCCAACCCCCAGTCTGAAGCCCACTACCGGGTTGTGGCCTATTCACAAGCGGTTGCATAAATAGTGGGCCAGCGCGCACGCACATGCACAAGCAGCTCAACTTGCATGAGCAGTGGGCCGGCACATATGCACATGCATGCAAAACTCACCTTACGCAAATTGAGCTACGCATGCATGCCCACACAAGCCAGCCCACAATTCATGCAAGTGAGCTGTATGCACAACCCAGTTCCCCTCTTTCCCCCTCTACTAGGCCGCCAAACTGCAAAGGTTGGGAACCTTTGCTCTAATCTACCAGAGTTTTTGAACTGAACCAACCTTAATATTTTAGTCTTTGTTGCATCATAACAGTTTATTGTATTACTTTTTTTTTCTATTCATGTTCGATTTTTGGAGACTGAACAAGTTCCTACAGTTTTCTTGGCAAGGTTTTTCCAAAAGGGGTTTGCCATTTCCTCCTTCTTAAACCTAAGAGAAAGTGACTGGCCCAAGGACACTCACCTGACTTTGTGCCTAAGGCTGGATTAGAACTCACAGTCTCCTTGTTTCTAGTCCAATGTTTAAACCACTACACCAAACTGGCTCTCATTGCATTATCTGTTACACTTCACATTGTTCTTTTTTGACAATAACCTAATTCAATATCTTCTGGCTCAGCACCCTTTTTGGCCTTATTCTCTCTTTGAAGTATTTTCTCAGCTAAATGTCATCTTTAGTTTCTTTTATTAGCTTGTCAGATCAAATCTCTATTTCTGTTTTTAAAGGCTACTTGAAGACTTATTTCAGTTCCAAAAATATATTTGCAGTATAATAGGACCATACTATCTGATATGCAGTGCAGTGCAGTGAAGTGCAGAAAGAATGCTATCTGAATCATCACATATCAGATCGGGAGATTCACATCTGAATATATCTCAGGTTGTTATGAGCTGGTGCTTTCTAGGTTGTGTGGCATGCCTGCCTTTCATTCTGTTGGCTGTGAATAATAGGTGCTTTAGTTCAAAATGCTTGAGCAACACCAACATGAAGACCAACAGTGCATCTCTCAATATATTATTTTAGTTCATACTATTTTATTATTACACTTTGTTAATACAGATACATAGCTGGCATCTAAAACCATCATCTGTGATTAGAATAGCCTTTAGGAAGCATATAGAGTGCTGCTGGGGGGGGGGCAAAAAACGGACCATTTTTCACTCATTTTTGCCCTCCCCAGCCCCCAGGAGCTCTCTGAAAGCCTTCTAAAAGCTATGCACAGCCATTTTGGTGAAGGGGGCGGAGTTTCAGGTGGCAAAAAATGTTGTATTGTGTATAAGACGCACCCAGATTTTCAGCCTCTTTTTTGAGGGAAAAAGGTGCATCTTATACTCCGAAAAATACGGTAGTTTTTCAAGCCTTTGTTCTCACATAAGTCATTATAAAACAATGTTGACTGGATATTAATAATGACTATGGCTTCATTATTAATTCCTGTTTAACAAGGCTTTTCCTCATTGTTAGTGAATGTACATTCATGTAACAGTGAGAAAAAGCCATGTTAAACAGGAATTAATAATGAAAGCCATAGTCTTTATTAATATCCAGTCAACTTTGTTTTGTAATGACTTACTTGACAAGAAAAGCTTGAAAAACTATTTTTATTCTATTCTATATTAATTAGAATAGAATTCTAATTTCTGTTACATACAATGTTCTGTAAAAGATACCTACATATTCCAAGTCAATGTGACTTAATTGAATAAAAGCTACTTAAGCTTAATTAATTAATTGAGGGACATGGTAGCTCAGTGGCTAAGAGGCTGAGCTTGTCAATCAGAAAGGTTGGCGGTTCGAGTCCCTAGTGCCGCGTAATGGAGTCAGCTCCCATTACTTGTCCCAGCTTCTACCAACCTAGTAGTTCAAAAGCATGTAGAAATGCAAGTAGAAAAATAGGGGCCACCTTTGGTGGGAAGGTAACAGTGTTCCATGTGTCTTTGGCATTTGCTTATGCCGGCCACATGACCACGGAGACGTCTTCAGACAGCTCTGGCTCTTCGGCTTTGAAATGGAGATAAGCACCACCCCCTAGAGTCAGGAACAACTAGCACCTATGTGCACAGGGAAACTTTACCTTTACCTTTAAGGATTAATTGCATCTGTTGACTGAATACATGCAAAGACACTACATTTTGGTTCTGCAAATCATTCAGAGAAACACTTTCTGAGGCAGCCAAAAGGGTCCTCTGAACTCATTGCTCAAGACACTGAGGAAATGTATCCTTTTGGAGGCTTAGCTCAGTAGCTTCAAATGCCTTTCCATGCTCACATGAGCATGAAAATGAAAACCCCAATAATACTTCCACCTGCATTGCTGTTGAAGAGTAGGTGAAAGCAGAACCATTCAAAGCGGGTATGTTAAGCAAGATGTGATAGTTTGAACAGCAGATTTGGAATGCTACTTGAGTTGCATTGCTTCAAAGGATTCATGTATCCTTCTTTTAAAAATATCTTTGAAACTTGATGAAATCCACAATTGAAATCAAACAACAGATTGTTTTCTAATGCTAAATTCATTTGGTAGGTGTCCTTCATTTTATAATTTTTTTCTCTGTTTGTCATTTAAAGGATATCTTCAAATTACAGATGAAGTGCCTAGAGCAAATTAAAAGACGCTGATGTTAATCCACCACAAAAAAGAATGGAAGACAAGTTACCCAGCAACTTGACCATCACCAATGGTTCAACTTCTAGCCAAAAATCACTTGAAGGCCACAATCTTTGGGAAGTAATCACCATCGCTACTGTAACGGCCATCTTAAGTTTGATAACCATTCTGGGAAATGTTCTGGTAATGATATCATTCAAAGTCAACAGCCAGCTGAAAACAGTGAACAATTATTATCTACTCAGTCTTGCCTGTGCAGACCTTATAATTGGAATATTTTCTATGAATCTTTATACATCATACATATTAATAGGGCACTGGTCTCTTGGAATTTTGGCATGTGATTTATGGTTAGCACTCGATTATGTAGCTAGTAATGCTTCAGTAATGAATTTGTTAGTTATCAGTTTTGACCGATATTTTTCTATTACACGTCCTTTAACCTATAGGGCTAAACGCACACCCAAAAGAGCTGGGATTATGATTGGTTTGGCTTGGCTGATTTCTTTCATTCTGTGGGCACCTGTAATCTTATGTTGGCAGTACCTTGTAGGGGAGCGAACTGTCCCAGCAGGAGACTGTCAAATACAATTTTTGTCTGAGCCTATTGTTACCTTTGGTACTGCAATTGCTGCTTTCTATATCCCAGTTTCGGTGATGACTATTTTATATTGCCGCATTTACAAAGAGACTGAAAAACGAACCAAGGATTTAGCTGAGCTTCAGGGCTCCAGTTCTGTGACTGAGTTTGAAACAGTGAAGCCTCAGAAAACCCTGCTGAAGTCTTGCTTTAGCTGCAGGCAACAAAATTTGACCAAAAGAGACCAATCTCAGGCTTCGTGGTCTTCATCTAGTAGAAGTACTTCTGCCACAGCAAAAGCATCTCAGATTCAAAACACCTGCCAAGATTGGTCGAGGGCAGAGCAGCTGACCATTTGCAGCAGCTATGCCTCATCTGAAGAGGAGGAAAAATGCCCACCTGATCCAGTCTTTCAAGTAGCCTATAAAACCCCTGTAAAAGGGAAGGTTGATGAGCAGAAAGAAGAGAAAAAGGAAGCTTTTATCAACGACCAACATAAAGAGAATGACTATGACACCCAGAAATATTTTCTAACCCCAACCAAAAGTCAGGTGCAAAAAAGTAATAAATGTGTAGCTTATAAATTCCGGTTGGTGGTTAAAGCTAGTGGTGCACCAGAAACTAACAATGGTTGCCGAAAAGTCAAAATCACTCCTTGTTCTGCCAGTTTATCCAAAGACGCTTCCATCAAAAATATGGATCCTAACCTAAGTAATCAAATTACTAAAAGGAAAAGAATGGTTCTTATAAAAGAACGTAAAGCAGCGCAGACTCTAAGTGCCATTCTTCTAGCTTTTATAATTACATGGACACCCTACAACATAATGGTATTGGTTTCCACATTCTGCTCAGATTGCATTCCTCCAACATTGTGGCATCTTGGCTATTGGTTGTGCTACGTAAACAGTACTGTGAACCCAATTTGTTATGCCTTGTGTAACAAAACATTCAGAAAAACCTTTAAGTTGTTGCTCTTCTGTCAATGGAAGAAGAAAAAAATGGAAGAAAAATTATATTGGCAGGGTAATACAAAGCTGCCTTAAATTAAAATGAAGTAGCTGAAAAATAATGATCTTGGCCAGAGAGTGTATATTAGCTACAGGTCTTTATTTGTAAAGTTGTTGTTTTGTGTGTTTGGAAGCAAAAGGAGCAACATTTCTATGATTTATGATTATGAAGAAAGCAGTCACAATGTTGAACATTTCTCTAATTGGAACTATTCAAAGGACCATTTTGAGTGTTGTTATCAGGACTTTTGGTCCCACACTTCTGCTTGATAATGGCAGAGCACAGGACCTTAATAATTGGTGATTGAACAGATCCATAAATGTATTTGGTTCACATTCTTGCTAAGTTAATATTATGCCTTCTTAAATATTTTTCCAGGACTTTTTCAAGTTAAATTATAGATCTGCAACCTACTGAAGTTAGCACTGTTCCCCTTGCAAAATTATCTACTAATTGAATGGATGCAAAAAGAATGAATATATCTATAGCCCATGATAAATGATTGAAATTGATTTTTGGAGGGCAAAAAGGTTCCTGATGTCAGCTTGAGTTATGAACAATGACTGAATTTGAATTCATTCTTCTTTTAATTGGGGCTAGATGTGACTTGTAAGGGGAAAGGTTTTTTTATAAGGCACATACTGAAACCGAATGTGATTATTTAAAGATTTAAAGTTGCTGTAGTGAGATCTACATATAAAACTCAGATTAAACACTAAGATTTCATACTTTATATGCATAGTTTTAAAAACATTTGCATGAAATAGTTTTGGGTCATATTCCTCTTTGAATGTTATAAATTGTGTAATCAGACATGAATAATATTATAGCATTTTAAAGATAGAGAGAGGAATATGTAAAACATCTACCTCTCTTTGTTTAGATATTTAGTGGCAATATTCACCTTTTTAATCCCCACAGCAAAAGTAATTAAATCCATTGGGCAACAACTACAACTTGTCAAAGAGTCTATCCCTTCAGTCTGAGTAAGAATTATAATTTATATAAGAATATATATTTAATACATAATTATTTCAGCAACAATGTGAATCTTATAAAACAAAGGCAGGTAATTAGAATAGTTTCTGAATAGCAGAGTCTGAACTAAAATCAGCTATCAAAATTAACCATTTTTTCCAAAAATGAAGAATTACAATGAGCAAGTGAAAATATAAGTCCCATGTCTTTTGGATCCAGATTTCCATAGCTATTTACCTGGATTCAGATCTAATTCTATGAAAATAAAATAATTTAATTATCTCTTGAATCTTATAAATACATACATGGTTTCTCATTTGAAAAGGTCTCTCTCTCTCCAATTCAGTGAAACAGTCAAGCTCTTCACATAAAGTGATATATACAGTAGTAGATGGAGAAATGCATTCTACTTATGAATGAGAATATGAAGCATTTAGAAACTCCGTGTATGTATGTAAATGCACAGAATTCTGACTTGGAAAGTAATGCTAAAGTCAGTTCAATTCAGGAAAATTGTGCTGTAGGATTAGAAGAATCTGAAGTTCATGGATATGTGGATTTTGTAATTCTCAGTTGACTGTCAAGCTTTACACATTCATTGTTTGCTGAACTGCAATTTAAATGCAGATTCAGTTCACATCCACATCTATAGCTTGGTATGGTTAGTTGTATAGTTATAGTATGATTGTAAAGTGTAATTTTGCATAGTTCTGAGATAACACAGTAAAGTTTATAAGAGTTGCAAAACAATAAGGATTCTAATGAGGTCAAAAGCTCTTTCTTATAGAGCTTATTCAGTGATTTTTAACAAGCTTCTCCATAAGTACTAATTGAAACAATATTTTGGATAACTTGACTACATACGAGTTATTTACAAAAGAGTCCCCCAATTATTTTTATAGTGGGACTAATCATAATTTAAACAAAATGTATAATACTGTGAACATGTGACTGATTCTAAGTATTTCTGTATTGTGCCAATTGTTTTTGGAGCTATGCTGTTTGTTAAAGAAAATGTGGATTCCCATAAAGAACTTTTGATTATTATCTTCAGTCAACATTGAAGCATATCCATTGTGCTTTGGGGTTTTCTGGCTTTAAAAAAATACATGTACGTATGATATGTGTGTGTCTGATTCAAATGACAACGCATTTCTATGACTCAAGCTATGTAATATTGGCAAAATGTGTTAAGATTGTAAAAGTTATTTGCTTGTTGCAATTTTATTGCTAAAATACCCTTGCCTTCTACTATTGAGGTTAAATGGAAAATTATTGTCACCTTTATAAGAATGTTTTATATATGTTTATGGTATGTGTTGAATAGATATATAAGACTACACAGTGATGGATGCCAAAGTATCAGTTTTCTGTTAAATATACGCTCAACCTATGCTGCTAAAAACTGAAACGTAAATTGCCAAAATCTGGGATACATGGTAAATATCTGGTACCATATTAAAATGGTGTGTGCTTATTCCTTTTCCATACAGTATATTTGCACATTTTAGAAGGTGCAAATTGAGAGATATCTAACAAGTGTCAAAATTGTAACTTTTTGTTTTGAAGAAACAGAAAGACATAAATATAGAAGATTTCATGGAAGGAAAACTTGAATAGAAAAAGAAATTCAGCATAGGTGCTGGTATCTAAAAAAGTAAGTGCTTAGCGCTCAGTCACAAACAATTACAATATTAAAAAGATAACTTGTAGAGGTGGTACAAAGTTACACAAGCTTTTTCATGGCAATATAAAGTCAAAACAAATATACAGGATGAGGAAAGGCAAGTCACTCATGAGCAATATAGACAAATAGGCTGGAATTGTAGAGATGATGTCAGGAACTCCAAAACAGAGAATAAGCTGAAGGATGTTAAGAAGAACAAAACTTTAAATATTATGTGGTTGATGTACTGCTAATTATTGTGCAACTGCAAAGTTCAAAAAGATAGTTGATGAAAACAATTAGAGGTTTTCGTGTATTCTCAGGATAGATAAACTGACATATTTTTTAAAAATTACCCTAGAAGGAAAAAGCTTGGTGCAGAAAGGGTTGGGAGACCAGACAAAGTCCAGTAAAATATTTGGGATTGTTCCTGATTGGTAGGAACAAAGATATATGTCAAAATTACCTCCAATTATGGAGAAAATTTAAAAAATATTTTCAAAGATAGAAAAAAAATCAATTTCTACCATTTAGGATTAATTGTGATTGTTAATATACATATACTACCTAAGGATTTTTTTTTTAAACTTATTTGAAATGATGCCAATTTCAATTCCGGAGAAAAATCTTGCACGATGAGCAAAGAATAGTCAATAGATTTTTTGGGGAGTGGAAAAAATGTGGAATAAATTTTATGAGATTCAAAAATAACAGTGAACTAGGTCTTTTGAATTTTATATTATATTACAATGCAAGTTGTTCGTCATGGATAGCAATAGATAAAATTCCTAAATATCAAAATATCAGTATGAGAAGGAGCTGACCAGCTAATGGATCTCCTAGATAGTTCTAGTGTAAGGATCGAAAAGAATATAAAAACGTGAAAGGACATATTTTTAGACAAATCTTGATAAAAGCATGGAATTCTATAAAAATCATAAGTTCAGCAACTTCACCTCTAGCTTCACCTTCAAATGCTTTGTATTCTGGAGAAAATTATTACAAGAAAAGTATAATTATATATGCAGATATGGTGCACTTAGACTCCAGAAACAGATTAAAGACAAAGTGAGAATTATTAGGTGAAAGCTCAAACCTATTACGGTTGGTGTATTTTTAAATTTCTGGAAGAACAAAAAGTGATCTTAAGAAAGAAGAAAAGTGTGTAAGAGAAAATGTATCATGGAGATGGAACAAGTCAAATGGCATGGGAAAATGGAGGCTGATTGGTAACAAAGAAAGGTAGAACAGCTACTACCTTGGTTCAAACTTCTCAGAAAGAGAATATGTGATTTACAATGCCAATACAAATAGCTGATTGAAGGCTCAGAATTGAAGTTTAAGATTAATACACAAATTGTCAATAGAGATTTGAATAACCTTGAATGAGTTTAAATCCTTGGACCAGAAGAATTACATCTTAGAATATGCTACATCTTATGAAGGTAAGAATTACATCTTATGAAGAATGGCTGCAGGATTTGGGTGTGGTTAGTCTAGAGAAAAGAAGGACTAGGGGAGACATGATAACAGTATTCCAGTATTTGAGAGGTTGCCACAAAGAGGAGGGGTCAACTTATTTTCCAAAGCGCCAGAGGGCAGGACAAGAAACAATAGATGGAAACTAATCAAGGAGAAAAGGAACTTGGAATTAAGGAGAAACTTCCTAACAGTGAGAACAATTAACCAGTGGAACAGCTTGCCTTCAGAAGTTGTGGGTGCTTCAATCCTTGAGATTTTTAAGAAGAGATTGGACAGTCACTTGTCTGAAATAGTATAGCAGGGGGTTGGGCTAGAAGACCTCAATGGTCCCTTCCAGCTCTATTCTGATTGAATGCTGAATAAACATGTTTATTATATGTCTGCATTTGTGTTACTTTTGAAATATGCTAAAGCAAAGAATATATATATGTATTACAAGATAAACTATTTCATTTTGAAATCAGATATTTAATATTTGCTCAGAGGATGTTCTGATCAGCAGTTAAATTTATGTATGGGTTCCAAGCCGTGTCTATTAGATTTATGGCTCAAGAATTATATTCAAAGTTGCATGGATCCAGTTCAAAATTGAGGGGCATATTATATGAGGAGTTGGTTTTGTATCAATGTTGTTAACCAAGAGTAAATAATCTGTTTCACAGTTGAATATTAAGAAAATCTTAATACAGAAATTCAAAAGAGAAATCAAATATCAGTGGAATATTCATTCATTTAAAATTTTCAAGCACAAGTTCATCATCTGTCATAACTGCTTTATTTTGATTCCTACAGATGGGATTTTAAAGGCCCAATATTGTTAAAGATGTATGGAAGCTACTTCCTGGGTACTAAAAGGCACATATAAACCAGTGTTTTAGGATTTTTTTTTGATATTTTACCATTAGTCACATTAGTGCCCAGCCAACATGAGAGGTGGGAGAGGTGGGAGATGGCTGCCGGTTTTTCTGCTCCGTTCTGGGGGAGCAGAAAAACATCAGAATAAACGGCGGCTTGGTTCGAAGGTTTGCAAAAGTGGGCCTCCGCAACAGAGTAAGACTCAGGGGACCTGGATAACCGGTTCCCTGGATAATCTTTGGAAGGACGCCGCTCCCAGACGTCCCTTAGCCCACGCAGCAGCCTGGAATGTTCGATTAGATTGGAGAGGAATGGCAGCGTGGCACTGAAGACTTCAGCGTTTTTCAAGCCTTTGGCGCTTTAATCACTCGTTAACGCTAGCTTAATGCTAAATCTCCCTCACTGATTGGAAGGAGCCTGGTTGCCTGCCTGCTTGAGAGATTATTGAGAGGCTATTAGAGGACCATTAGAAGACTATTGGAGAACTATTGTGGTCAAAGGAGGTGGGTCTTTTGAATCTGCGCTGGTTGAGACGAGGTAGCCGGCTTAGGCCTTAGCTGCCGTAGTCTCTTTGGGCGCCCCCCTCTCTATTCTATCTCAGTGGAGCGTATTGCTGGTCGCTCCAGGCGTTTTTTGTCATCTACGCCCCTGTCTCCTGTGGCGTTTTGGACTCTGCTGGTTGGCCTTATAGAGGGTTCTTCGGTTTATCATGGGGCGACATAAAACCTGGCAGCTGGCCTTGTGGCCATTGATTTTGCCCCCTAGGATACCCTCTAGACCTTTCCTTTCTTCTCTGGTCCTCAGTTTGGATATTGGACACTGGAT